TTATTATGTGCAATTTTGTATAATTAAAATTTTTCAGTGTGCAAGACTTTTATCCAGGTAGTATATATATATATATATAAATCCAACGTGCCGAGATCGTGAAATCCCCTGCGGGTTCCTCGGATCCTTGCCGGGTCGCATTATGTTGTGTTATTGGTATGCTCAATTTATCTCGAAAGTCACACATATTGGCGAACCATTTCAACATAACCTAAGGTGGGCAGTATTTACCCAACAATTTCAAATGTGTTAGTATTATAATTAGACATGAATTTACTAGAGTTAATTATATATCTCGTTTTTTTGCTCCACTTCCCCTACTAATATTGTCGTGCCAATTAATCGGGAAGCGTATAATTAGCTGGCCGTATCTTGAATTTTTGCGAATAGAGCATTCGAAAGAATTTTCGAGGTAATGCACATATAAGAATGTTGCTAATAAGCACATGTAAATTGTATTCAAAACGAGATGTTAACCTATAAATGTTGGTAAACTATTATCTCTCAACTTGCTAGTAAATTGTTCTCGTTCTCAATAGAATTAAGTGTTTAAAGTAGAGATTTTTTTTGAATAATAGTTTTCTGTGTGAAAAAACCAAGTGAATTACTTAATTATAATGTCTTAATACGAGTCTTACATGGACTTGAGTAAAATGCCTAATATTAACCGCTTCAATATGGTACTGTCATGCCATGTCACTGACTTTTCATATTTCTCGATAAGGTTTAAGCTAAACAATTGTAGTTTTAATTGAGAGGTATTAGCAATTTTAAGATATTACTGTTGCAGTGTGAGGAGCTTAATCAATATTAAATGGCGTAAACACAACAGTCGCTAATATCTTATAATTACTTATACCTCTTATTTGAAACTACAATAATTTAGCTTTCAAATTATATAAAATATGGGAAATCGGTAACTTAAAAACATCGATATACTAGTAAAATCTTGTATCGTATTTATACTTTGGTAGGAGGCGTACCTTCCATTCTTTTTCTGGTTTTTACGTAGAGTGATTATCCCCGAAACAATAATAACTTCCTGGGTTTGTGCTTTCATTTCTGGATTCTACATGACAAAATTATAAGTTGTCAATTCACACAGATAATTTGTTGGTTTTTTCATGTGGGTAAGTCTTGTTTTAATTCGCATTTTTGCTTTCCTATATTATTTACCGCCGTTACAATAAATATCCGGCAATGAAGGAATTATGAAATTTAAATTGTCTTGGTTTGATGATCGGAATGTTCATGGTAACTGTACATATATAATTACTGTTACAGTTGTGAATATATGTTGCAATTTCTACTATCGTGTTAGTGGATCGATACTTGTTAGCCGCCATTAACGACTTAGTCTGCCCGAATCACCAAGTATTATGTCCATCACCTCCCATCACGTAATATAATCATCGGGTAATCTATAGATAGAGTAGCTATCCTCGGAGTTGAAGCCAAGACTCATGACCTACGGAACTTGATCCCTTGGGTGGTTCAGAATTGTTCACTACGATATACTATAAGACCTACGGAATACAGTCAAAGCAAACGCGATAAAAAAAAACGCGGGCAAAAAACAGAGATGATCGATACGTGATGATTATTGTCCACTACTCATACTTTCGATACTAATATACTAATATATTGATCTGCCACAATTACTTTGCTTTTATTGTAGATATAAGTTTCCCATCACCTATACACAACATCTCTCTACGCTAATTGTTATGTATTGTAAATAAATCGATATTCATTTCTTCTGCTCAATTTTTGAGGCGGGAGACATGATTATGGATTAAACATGGTCATTATATATTAATATGTTTGTTCAAAGGTTTTATATTATCCATATTAGTACCTACCATACAAATAAAGGAGTTCTTGAAGATATTAGAGAGAATGATATAGAAATAGTGTAAATCTCATTGATACTACCAGTCTTTATGAAGACAAGATTTATGTATCTTCACCATCACACCAACAACATCCTACCCCTCAAAAACAATAACGCAACAACAGCAAGTTAGTTGCCTTACCATCACAACGTGAACCGCGTTCATGTTAGTATGTGACAGAGCAGAACTAAAAATTACGTCATCTGAAAAAGTGAGGTCGCATAAACTATTCATTTGAAACATGCAATTTTATTGGTTTAGCCTTTTTTACTGACTCATCTCTTATATCAAGTGCCTGTCTTCCCGTTTTTATGACTACTTTTCACAGTAGTGATGTCGTAAGTTGTACATATCGCATTAGAAATCTTACGCGATTGGCTATTGTTGCGTCATTGTATGCAAGTTTCTGATAAGCAAAAATTCGCGTTTGCCTAATTCAGTGATTAGAAATCAAATAACACATATGTATTACGTTTTTACTCACAGTGTCAAGTCACTAAACTAATTGCAAAACGAAGACTCATAGGCTATGATCTTTGTTATGCTTATCGATAGATCGCGGAAATATGATACGATGTGAACAATTTGTGAACTCTGAAATCTTTCTGTGGCGTTATTATGTTTGCTTTGATCTGGTCTTCTTTGATCAATGCCCCCACTTGATATATCGTTTTTGGTCAATGGTTAGAATTCACAAATCAATAGTAACAATGGCACATGGCGATGAAAATGGCTTATTATAGATTGTAATTTAGGAGTATCTGTCTCTATATACATTGGCGTATTACGTACAAAATATTTATTGATCTGAAACTAAAATAAGCAGTGTTATTAATTACAGTAAAACGCCCAGGATATTTATTTGTTTCCGAGAGCACTTTCTTAGTTTTACAAAATTGAACACTTGAAACAACACTTCTCAAAATGTTGTTATTATATCGATATTAATAGTAATAGTGATATTTGAAAAAAAAAGGTTTATAATGTCGCTTTCATTTAATCACATGCAAGTTGTATATTGGGTATGCTTTATTAGTCGTAGATACCCTTATCTCAACCTCACAACTTGTGGACTCAGTGGAGCAAAGGCAAATAATAAGGAAGTTGCATAATGTACGGGATAAAAATAATAAACACATTCACTTTGGGCTCTTGGTCTATTCCCCTAATACTAACTGTAACACTTGATAATTTCTAGCTCTCGTTCATATATTAAAATCGTTTGAAAGCTGCTGTTAAAGTACGTCTCTTTCTATATAGTCTTAAATTGACATTGCTTTCGTCGATATTAATAAAAGCTCTTTATAGAGAATTCCGATATAATGAAGCTCTTACTAGCAAAAATCCCCGATAATAAGATTTTCATTAAAGATGCAATATCTGAGACAATGATAACTCGATCCTGCATGACAAGATGACAGTTACGACAGATTTAACCAAGTGTTTGGGGCAAGTGGGTTTTGCAAGTATTGCACATGTTTTAATCACAATGGTAAAATATGATCAAGTCCGTTGTTTTGACGAAGTTGGAGCTCCATTTAAGGAACAACCAATACATCATCCATTTTAATTTCCTTTTAAGAAGGTGACGCTTGATCCATTCTATTTCCATTTATAGGTTAGTATGACGTAATTGGATGCTCTATTGTTCAACCGAATTATAATCATGATAAATGTTAGCTATTAACGGAATGACTTTCTCACACTATGTTTCTCCTTCTGGTGCGGAGAGGGTTAAATGATGAAATCACGGCGAGAATGTTCTGATTATATTGACGAAGAGATTCCATCATATGGTTCAACATGAGAGTAATGATCGGCGTTGAATAAATTTTTCTTTTTCCAACAGCTGCTAGCAGAGATCTTTTGGTTTACAGGATATGGTGAAACAGACGAATTGAAAACCTTGAATATCAAGATCTAATTCCCAGCTTGGTTGAATAAGGCAAAGCCGAAGATCTGACAGCAGACTGTTTGTCTTTACAGTTGACTGGGTTAATGATTACCTTATAAACATTGCAGCTAACCCGAAATACACATCGAAACATTTTACAGTTTATACGGCAATCCTTGTTAAACAACGATATTGGAATATGTGCGCGTATAGCCGAGAAAAAAAGAAGAATTAGACTCGAATAGGTTTACAATCCAAAATTTTATGCTCTCATTTGTAAATTGTTGAAAGGTATAGATAGTTTGGTCTCGTTGAACAATATCGTCACTTGAGTAACACTTTTATGGGAAAAAAAAAGTTGTCATCATTATACTGTTGTTACTATTGTCGTTGTCGTTGTCGTTGTCGTCGTTGTTATTGCAGTTGTCGTCGTTGTTATTGCAGTTGTAGTAGTAGTAATAGTAGTAGTAGTATTAGTAGTGTAGTAGTAGTAGCAGTAGTAGTAGTTGTTGTTATAATTGTTGTTGTTGTTGTTATAATAGCTGTTTGGTTTGTTGGTTTTACAATATTGTCGTATTGTTTACGCCTGCCTATAAACAAAAGCCGGAAATCGAAAACAAACGACAAGCTATGATGATGAGATGGGCAAACATATGACTACAGCCGCATTCCACTGTTCCACAACAAGTTGACTTTCCCATGCCATGCTTTGTTAGTGTGTATTGGCTAATTGCAACTATTAACGGTCACTCAATTTGCGAATTGTATACCGCGAGTATGCCTGATATTTATAGGCTGCACGATATCGATGAACACGAATACCTTGCATACAAGTTAGCCAACACTTTTTTTTGACCTTTATTCTGTACTGTGTTGCAACTCTTTTTTATTAGTAGTTTACATAGACCGAGTGGTACCAAGGATAATTGTTACCCTCAGCCACCAATTATTCGCCCATCGCGCAAATCTTTTGTTGAAGCACAACATTTATATTTGGTATGTATATAAGAACCTTTTTCCCTCCATTTACATAGTATCGCTTTTTACTATTTCCAAAATTTACTAATAATTTTTCAATAGAGATTAATACGGTTTTTATTTGATCAGTAAACTACTTATCTCCGCCCATCTATATATATCTAAACTCCCCCTCCCTCCAAACATTAATATTGCCTCTCTTTCACATATAATTTTTGGAAACATACAACAAAATGCTACCTATCTCCGACACACAAACGAGCGTTGCTCTCAACATTAAGAAAAATTCAACCGTGGCAGTACTTACCAAGTGGGCAAAAACACAACTGCGGAAATCAAAAATAAAACCTTCCGACAATAATACCACTAGTACAGATATTGTATTGTACGAGGACAGAAAACAACCTAAAAAGTGGGACCGCCTACTTTCCAAGACAGCAAAGTCGAACAAAATAGAAAATAATGACGACACTAACATTAATACTATTGCTTTACCTAAACCTAATTTCAGCATATCGTTCATTGAAGAGCTATATTCGTCATGTCCCTTCATACTGGGTCATGAGCCCCTCCCTGATGCCGCTTCTCCTTCACACAGTCTACCCGACTCGACCTTTGACAGGGACAAACTGGACAAGTCACCTAATGCAACTATCCAGCTGGGTACGCCGAGACACTTTGTATACACGCAGACTCTCCGCAAATACAAGGACGCAAACCGTGACGTCAGACCCCTATACAACATTGTCCTTTTGAGCGCTGTTCTGAAGAAACTACAATACAGCAGCCCGCTTACCCTCAGCGAAGAACAAGAATTACGACTGTACGAGTCGAAAAAGGCTCGCATAATCACGCAGGATAAGGATACACGCGATCCACGCAATATTGACAAGTGTGGTGGTAACCGAAGCGGCAACGGCAAGAACGTCGAGGCAAGATCGGTAGCATTTCGTAGCTTTGCTTTTGCGCAAAAAGTCCGACCAAACAATAGTGGTCAATCGCAACCGGGCACGCAAGCACGTACTCCGTATCTTCCTCCGTATCTTCCCAAAAAAATTGCTTCGTTATCCCAATATCGTGCTTCGTATGCATCTCAAGCTGTAGTGATTACGGTAGATGACAAGTCAAAAAAGCTAACGACCCGTGATCTACCAATTGCACGTCGCCATCGTCGTCTATTTTCGTCACCAGACGTTCCAGAACGGGCGTCATCATTATCGTCTCCCTTGTCATCACCATCACCGGCATCAGTCAAGGACTCTTGCAACAATCAAAAATGGGAAAAGGGGACTCGAATAAGACCTTGGCTGATAAAACGGAATGATGTGTTGACTAAAGACGATGATGATGGACACGTTGATCTAGACGAAGTACCATTGTATGTGTTGAGGGAGCAGTATAAGTATTCTGGATGTAATTTTTCTGGTAGTCGAGAACTAGTAAACGATGGAAATAAGCCAATGGCCTTGGCCATGTAAAAAGTAAAAAAAAAAAAAAAAGAAGAGAAAAAGAAATAAATTCAAATCATAATTCTTGCGGGGGACTGATGAATGGTCACATACGCACACACACACACATACACACACACATACACGTTTACGAGTATAATTAATAATTACTGTACTTTATTTTATTTGTAACAACACTCCAACCAATTCTTACACACACGGTCAACCCCCATTGTCTTCTTGTCTCTAAAATCATCTGTTAAATAAAACAAATAACAAAGCCAAAGCATGTGCTTGTATATATATAAAACTTACATATGTCTGTGTGAAACCAATTCAAGGAAGGAGGAGCATATGTGTATAATATCCATTCATCCTTTGACAAAGAACAAGGGCTTGCGTTGTGTTATGTAGGTACATTGTACGGAAAAACTTGAAGGTTTTTCTGATTTGCGTGTATGACGTCTCTAAAAATAACCAACTGTCACTACAGGCAGATATCGTTGATGATCTAAGAATCACAAACGTTCGTGATAAATATGCTGTCTTACCTCCCCCTTTCAAATACCGATCGAGTTAGGCATTCATCCGATGCAGAGTTATCTAATATATGCATGCTCAAGCATAACGGAATAATACTTTACTACCCAGTACGACAATCAAATTAATTTTTTTACGAGAGCTTTTGCGGCGAAAACGATTGGGATTGCAGCAAACAATTATTATAACGATTGCCCCATAAAAATTTAAGGTTTGGGCACCCGGCCATTATGATTCTAAAGCAACTGCTCCTGCTGTGGAACGTTTTAAGAAATATTCACTTTCGTCTATTCAATTTTTTGTAGATGTTGAAAAGCCTCATGAAAACCTTTTCTTGGGCCATTGATGTGCAATCACGCCAACTTTATTTTTAGAAAAGTTGTTACTATTCAAATTCGTGCTCATAGACAGGTTATGAGCCGGTTGTATTCAACAAACACATTTGTCATGGAGATATTATCAGTACGATATCGTCAATCAACATACTATATTTGGCATGCCCATTGTTGCGTTCTTCGTGATAAATTTGTACTACGGACTGGTATTCTAACTATAATTGGATAGTATTAAAATGCGCTTCACGCCCTCAATATTAGCCGGTTCTACTCTTAAAATAATTACTAATGTCTATTTTCCTTTTCTTCTTACTTCCGTCATTGGTGGTTAGCACTAACTTCCTGCCGCTATCATCTTCTCTTTGTAATTGTAATGCAAAGTGAAAGTCCTTATGTTCAATCCATTGATCCTGTGGTATCATTTTATTGCACTTGTCGCACGAAGACATTTCATTAGTACTCTTTGTAACACTCAAATCGCTTGGCACGATATCTGGTCCAGAACTATCGGTTGAAGCAGTCGCATTGGTAAAAAACCTTCGTATATCGCCAGGAGATAAACCGAACTTATCATAAGACTCGGATAGTCTCGTGTCTTCAATTTTTGATTCAGACTCTTGTGGGGTCTGATTACAATTCTGCTGCAAGACTTGGTCAAGAGTGACTTGTCCCTTCATCAAGGATGATTCCGGTGAATTCTTCTGCCGCTTCTCTGTGGAAGCAGTCTCGTGTGCGTGCATATTCATTTTATGATCACTGTTAATAGCTGTATCCTCTCCTGCATCTCGACGTATGGCGACGAATTGGCTAATGTCAATCATCCCTACGCTATTATCTTTACCCAGCCCAGTAGCTGAAGCTGCTAATCTTACACAGGGAAACGCGTATGGCGAGTTTTTGAACAGTGCTGATATCTTGGTCGAGATCGTATCCGGCGAAAATAATTCTCCTCTACGGGGGAAAGGGCATGATTTTGAGCGAGGTGCAGATTGTGAGATACATCTATAATGAATCTAATAAAGTATCACAATGTTAAAGCGTGTAACAGACGCTCAACCCATTTTGTCTCAACAGATTGAAACCAACTATGCAAATTCATAACACAAACCACTAAATTCTTGGGCCAGCGTTGGTTAAGTTCGAAATCATCTATTACGCGCGTATACAATTCTGTCCCAAGTATTGTAGCCCAGTGTTGGATCTGTTGCAAATTTTTCACTGGCGGACGGAATGACTTGGCCGCCATCATGGACTTTGCAACGTTCCTATGAACGACTAAAAATAATAACGCTTAGTGATCACATTGTAAACAAAACACTAAATGCGAGAGGATTTAATTTTCATTAATCAACACCTTCTTCACTGTCTATCCCTCGGCAAATACCAAAGAGCCAAGCTCCTGTTACCCTGCCAAACTTGGCTTGCAGTTCGTCAACGCTAAACTTCCTATTGAAAAGTTGAACGGTATATTCATACAATCGAGAAATTATAGTGTCGGTTTGCCTCACAGTCATTCATTCAAGTCTATGGCCAAAACCATTTACCATAATTCTCCGGCAGTTTCAACTTGCAGCACATCTTCAATGAAATTACCCAGCTTCCCACCCAAGTTACGTATTTTTTGGAATGGCATAGAATACATGAAACCAAGTGTTTGACTGGATCTCATGACCGTCTACAGGGATTGCGTAAATGTCAGATTATGGAATACCAAAAAGTTTCAAGTTTCCAAAAAATCGTATACCTGTCCATTGGGCTTGTTCAATACAGAACATAGCTTTGCGAGAGTCTTATTATGGGCAATACCTATTAGAGTAGCTCATTGAGCAACATCGATAAAAAAAAGGTCGCAACCACCCAACAGCTTACCTGCCGAACAAGTATAACCCAATTCCCTGTGTATGGAATCCCTTATCTCTGCACAAAGCTTGGCAGCCACAGCCAACTGCCAGTCACACCATTTATCGTTATTGTCTATATGGGAATCTGTGGGTACATAACTTGCCTCGCTGTTCTCATAGATTGTCCCGAGGTTGGCCCATTCCACATCAGGAGCCTCGGAATTTTCATCTAAATTCGAAAACATTCCCAATAGTTTTGAATTGACGATATCCGTTACATCCATGTAAGCTTCGTCCACGCTAGCACGTTCGACTATATTACAAAATCTCTGGAAAATCTTAAAGATTGACGCGCTTGCGCGTCTATATGGATCTAGCGATACTTTGTGAGTAGCATAGCTTGGATTAGGATGGTATTTTGGCTCTTTCTCTCCGTTTGCGTACGTCGCAACGTGAACTAATTTCAAGTCTGTCAAGAGAATTAGGTGTTTAGAGACATCTCACAGTATGCAGTAGAACAGTAGAACAGTTAATAATCATATCGGGACTATGCATATTTACCAGGACATGCAGCCAATGCTTCTCGAGCAGTACAATGTCTCTGTATGCCAGCCTTACGCGCGGCATAATTAACTTTAAACAATTCGAAAGGTATAAACTCACGTTGTGCTAATAAAGTTTCAAGGAAGGGACAGCAAACATACCTGCAATCAGCCCCTGCCATTGTTGAACTGCCAGCGGTACGTCAGAAGGAATCTGCAGTCGTACGTGTTCTATGATTGTACATATGCTCATAATTAATGCTTTATACAATTTTCTTTTACAAGTCGAGTTCATATGTTGAAACGTGTTTACTTACCAACCTGACAATAAAAGCAGTCTGTCGATAATGAATGCTCATGTTCAGAAGTGCTCCGAAACGATTTCTAGACATTGTAAAAGTTACATGCTACAAACTATTGTACAAACCGAGATCTATATGAAGCACGACTTTTCGTTGACGCAGATATGAGGGTACAGTCGCGCTCTTTGACATTTCGGAATTTTTGAATAGGGGATATAACTAATACTAATACTAATTTAGGGAGAATTAATATACGGGTAAACTCATGACGTCACTTGCGTCGCGTATTACTGTTACATTCTCTCCAGCAGATTTCTCTTCCGACATATGATTTGGAAACTTCGCCCCTGTCTTCGTTCCACACACTGGACTGTCGATCCAATATGTACACTCCCTAAGTGTATAACAGTTTAATTTGTTTCAGACAATAAGGCAGTAAAAGTTAAACGTACCAAATTGTTGCGGTTTTTCTCAAAGAGTTACATGACAAACCATTATTCCTTCAGCAAAGCATGGTGTGTGGTCTTATCGTTTGGGATTTAAAAAGTTGGGACCTGATAAAAGTTGTATAAATTAGTCTACATGCAAATACTTAAAAACAGTTATTGTCTTTCATAATACTAAATATTATGGAAAAGATTACTTGTTTCAACAAAACAATGCGCCAGTTTATACAGGCCAAAGATCTATGCGTGGATTTGGCAAAATTTGCCAAGTCAATCACCTGCTTTGAATCTAATTAAACATTTATTATTATGTATATGGTCAGAATTTGCTTTGAAGGCGTTCAAAAAATTCATAAAAAACTAATAATAATAGAAATTGTTTTATTTATGACTGGAGGAATGGACTAAAATTCCAGAATTTGCATATTAATATATGAATTTAGTTACAAAGGCATGGCAAATAGAATTGAATCAATAACGATGGCCAACCAAATATTAAGTATCAAAAAAATTTTAGAATAATTATTATGTAGCTTATTCTAGAATCATACTTGCCCAAATTCCATTTCCAAAAACGCCCACAATAAATCAAATTGATATATAAGTTAAGAATATCAAAAGATTCATTAACTGGTCTCCGTTAACACCTACTCAATACACTAGTTCCAGCAACATGTCTTCAATTATGTTTTCAGACATCTCGAAAAAATTGTTGGCATTGAAGAAAATGTCACCTTCAGCAAATATTTAACTGTTCTCACTTGCAACCAATTTGTTCCGCATTCTAAGCGCTATTCTGTTTAACATATGAAAATTGTACATTGACCAATCATTATTTGCCCGAGATATAACAGTAATTGTCTGATTTGCTGCTAATGTTTTTATTGCCAAATCAATAATAGTAAGCAATTAGGTGGTTCCCAAAATAAATTCTCTGGTTACATTGCTATATTTAAGTTAGATTATAAAGTGTCAGATGGTAGCTTAGTTAATTGAGAAGAAGAAAAAAAAGATACAGCATAATTACGCATATCCAAGTACGCCCATCCATAAATGTACTGGAATGGTCGCATCTTTAAGTCTGACAAAGCCAAATCGACAGCTGCAATTGGCATCAATATCACGTTGGCTTGTATTCTGATGCGTCGTAGCACCATAGTAACAGCGGTTCTTTTGCACTTATAAATTTGTGTAAATATAAAGTTATGTGTGGATTGATTTTTAAATATTCGAGTCGCATGACCTATTTCGTAGGATAAAAGTCGGCTCCAGATAAATTCGTAAATTTACTATCTAACATATTGGAATTTTGTGTGTACGTGTATAATTTGCATCACCATGTAAAACCCGGATTTACATATGTAATTTGTGGCAAAGAAGATGTGACAATAGCTACAATAAAGATATTCTATCCTAAGAACATCTGTTAGGCTTGCCATGACTGTATGCAATATCAAGACATCATAAGTTTACAATGTTACTTGTGGACTTATCGGTAAAGCATGACTACAATTTTAATTCACATAATATATATAATATTATACAACGTCCAGATAGGAATCAAAAAGAAAGAAGTTAAGCGTTACACACAGATCATCGGTTCAATCTTAGTAAGAATGACTCCGTGATTGTACTTGAAAAACTTCTTATTCAAACTATGTCGTTAGCATCAGAGACTGTTAATAATTCAGCAATTGACAACTTTGTTCAATCCTCCTTGGAAAATGAAAAGGAATACTTAAGACTTGAATGGATTCCTTGCTCAGAATTCACTGACATAGAGCCAACTCAAATTGACAACGTCTACCACGCCATTCGCAAGCAAACGAAGAATGATGGTGAAATGAAGGAAACAACGATAATGCTGCTGTCACTTGGAAATGATGAAACCTGTACGCCAACATTTATGCGTGAGTTCGCTAGAATTTACTCACTTCCAACATACAAGTACAATGACGATATTAGTCAATTTAGACGATATTCCAAATGGCTTGAATATCGCAACAAACTGGTATATGGATTCACCAAGTACGAAGACAAGTATTACATGGTTGCTAATAGACGCTTTTATCATTGTTATTCTCTCCATGGATTCTGCACCGCATGTGGAATAGTCCCGTGTGGTGCATTTGCGGGCATAAACAATTATCCGATAGATGGACTAGCAACAATAAGCAACTCGATGAGTTTATTAAGAAATCTCAATTACAAAC